GCTGAGCACTACACGGTGTTTCTGTATCTAATAAAAGGAGCCTGAGACACAGACACCAACACCAAATACACAAATACACACTGTATACTGTACAACATATGGAAATAAGGGCAAATTAACAGTTGAAGATAAAAGTGAATTCAGTAGGATTTCACATACAGGAAGCGAGCACTAGAATTAACAGAGGGATGCATAAATACCACCAACCTACAATCTCAAGCTACTGTACAGTGATAAATCTATACGATGCTGTAATGCACACTTCGGCAGCCTGACACTATAGGCTAACATTAGTTTATAGCAAAAATATTGGTATCATATACAAAATGAATACTGCAGAAATAAACATCTTACCCTCAAATAGTTTGCTATATATTCATTCTTACAGGTTAGAAAATACTTAAAATACTAAGAATACACAGTTATAAATTACTTATCTAACACTGTTTCAGTAGGTTTTCTTTATAATAAATTGCATTGTTCACTAGTAAAATATCTTCACCCAGACATTTGTTGTATTGTATTGTGTTGTGTTGTGTTATACATTTACTGGTTATGAACAATATGAATACTGCTGTTCGATTAGTATTGTTCTAAAACATCATAATCACCCTAAAAACTTTATTGATTGGGCTTTGTATGGGACTATATAACAACTCTGACATAACTGAGGAATTGAAACTGGAAGACAAAACAGACACACACATCAAATTGGCCACAGCACAGTAACTGGCACCTGGCTCAAGTGTCCCACTGTGACATGAGTTATGAAGATCGGGAGGCTCAAGTAAGGCAATGGAGAGAGAGAGGAAGGAAGAGAGTGCAGGACACTAGAGCTGCAGTTGCAACAGTTTCTCAAATGTTTGCAAGGTGGTGAAGGGGGAAAAGCATATTTATAATTCGAATATGCTGTAAAAATGCCTCAAACTGCTCCCAGTTTATTTCAGTCTCTGTGAGAAGCTAAATTAGACACAAGCCTCAATAAACCTCAGGGACTAAAATGGGACAAGTAGGCAAATAGCTGCATCTACAGACTGGAGCAAAGAGAAAGGGATCAAATAAATTTAGTTTAGACTGTGGCATAGACAGGACTGATTTCACACAGGACAACTCAAGGATGACCACACAAATGCTAGGACACCTAAACCTGTATACACATGGGAAATAAATGAGACTGGCCTCCTGTAAAAAATCTCCATAGGTCATTTGAGCAAGCAGGTTATTGTAGCACATTTTATTGTTACTGTAGATGACCTGTAGCAGCTACTGTAATATGCTGGAAGCAAAGAAGTTAGGTGACATAGTAAATAGAGTGACACAAGTCCACATTAGGAGGCCTGGGTGGTTGAATGGGATGAGAACATTAGAGGCCACTGATCATTTTCTGTTTCAACTAACAGTCTCTGTTTCTTTTATTCATGATCTTTTTACAACTTTAACCAGGTGTTAATTATTGTAACCATTACAAGGAAGGTCCTCTCACATTTTAACCCAAACCACAACCACCCAATAAAGTAGTTTCTGTGCCTAAGCCTCACCAAACTCTGATTGTTCCACAGTCTTAAACACATTTATTACTGACCACAAAGTCTGCTTCTGGTACATTCCTATGGGTGATATCCAAAGGCAAATGACCTATACCAGGGGTTTTCAACTAATTGTGACCCAGGTGCCACCATTTTGCTTTCACAAATAACAGCTCTCAAAATGATTTGATTAATGTGAAAAGTGTTAAATGCTCCTTGAAAAAGAAATTGCAGCTCCATGTCAACAGAAAAATAAAACTATGGCCCAGATAGAGACGGGTGACACGTTAAAGGAAAAACTTGAATGAATGAGTGCTGCCTTCCAGTATGACAGTGCCCCATCCATATGAGGGGGTTTGATGGGTATGAAAATGATGTGAATCATATGCTGTGGCCTTCACAGTCTCTAGATCTCAACCCAGTTGAACACCCAAGGGAGATTCTGGAGCAACGTGTTAGACAGTGTCTCCTCCACCATCATCAAAACACCAAGTGAGGGAATATCTTTTGAAAGAATTGTGAATTGTGCCAGGCCAGTGAGAGAACTGAATATAGGCTAAATCACAAACGGCAAAGCATGTCACAGAATTCATACTTCAGCTGAAATGTAACAGCCTAATCATCACCAGTGTCATCATTATCATCATGCTGACTGCTAGGCTATCGAGCACTACAGTGATTATACATAAAAAGAGGTGGAAACTTGTTCCAGAAGTCTCCCTCTGTCTGAATTTCCTTATAATTATAGGTGGTAAGGGTATTTAAAATAATTTACAAAAAATTCACAGTCTTCTGCATTAAGTAGTAAAGCAAAGGTGGTGCCACCAGTATGAAATGTTAGTCTGGGGCTTTGCATGTGATTCACTAGAGCATGTTTAGGGTGAAACAACCAAACCAAGCAGGAGGCTAGCTAACTCAGTGTCCGGCTGAATAAATGAAGTGAAACAAACTGCCAATTCAGTCTGATTATCAAATTAATCAGGAACAGGACAGAGACACTGATGCACATTTTCCATGGGTTGTGCAGCATGGAGGTGAATCAGGAAAAGAAAACACAGTATGTACCGCCTGAGCCACTTTCTTTGGAGTGAAAGCGTGCCATCATGGAACCTGTTATCAGTTTCTAATAATACTGTACATTCATGGGTACAAGTTTGATTCCAGCCTCGTTTTAGTTCTATATATGTGCATGTTGTGGTGTCCCAAAGCCCTGCACTCTTCAGGCTGAGGGATGTGGGGGTGAAGTAGAGAGCTGAAAGCAGAGCCTTATTGCCCTCACTGGTAGCCTGACCAATCTTCTCCTTCCCACCCTAGCTCACCTACCCACCCTCAGCTTGCATTAAACCAGTCAGCCAGACAAGCAGTCTAACTTTAGTCGAAGAAGCCACAGCCTGCAGAGTGAGCACAGGTAACGTCTGCACAGTCATGCAGACGTGTTCAGACACAAACCTACCTTTTAATAACTCTAACACTCTTCACTGAGGTATTATCATTAAATCCGAAGGAGTACTTACACTCTTCACAGTAAACCGCAGTGTAACAGAGAACAGAGATGTGTATGTTTTGCACATTCATTGCAGTAATCATGACACACTGGGTTGTGTCTTGCCTTTAAAATACATAACAAAAACAAAATTAAAAGCCCTCCATCGACCATCAGAAATTTTTGTGGCAGCTTTCCATGACAACAAGCCATTTAAATATCTGCAGACTTTGCTAACTGCTAACCACGCCCACCCCAATTACCCCTTAGGACCTGCGCTGTGATCTACAGTCAGTGCTGTCATTTCCTCACTGAAGCTTGAGGAAAAGTATTCTGGCTGATCCCGGATGAGTCATTCAGGCACAATACTGCTCTGAGTTGGTCCATATCCTCCTCTTCCCACCCCAGTGTCACTCAATCCTTACCATGACCAATCACACTAACAGAAAAGGTCACGAGGTTATTCTCAAATTCCCAAGAGTCCAATTTGCGAATGTTCCATGGTGCTGAATTAGCCATGACCCTTCAGATTGTCCAAGGCTGTTGCATTCCCCCAAAGACCACTCTCCGATCACCTCAATACGCAACTGTTGTGCCTGTCAGTGAGAAGGCTTCTGACCTAATGAATCATTATGACGTCCACCAGAAACAAACCGTGATTTTTCTGGAATGTTTTGGGAGTCAGTAGATCACAACCTCTGAGTCTACCATTAGTGATTTTTAATTACCAGCCTTACAGCTTTAAACACAGCAGTGACTCTACTCCACTTTAGAAAACTAACATCAGTCTATGTAGATATTAATAAATTGGGCTATTCTTGTTTATGGGAAAAACGGTCTCATATAGCTTGTAAAGGTAGAAAGGTCTTCTGTCCCAGCACAAACCCACCACCTCATTCTTTCAATAAATGGACTTTGGTTTTTGAGACAACTACACCAATATAGCCTAGAGACCCACATAACACACCAACAAACAACAAAGGAAGTTCTAATAGAACTTTGTATGGTTGGTTATAAACATTAGCCCATTCAAGGCACATTCAGACTGATTAAAGAACTAGGGTCCTATTTTGAGGATCCACGATGTCTGATCAAGATGTATTGGCACTAGTGAGTGTATCCGTGTTAATTTTGGTAATTTTACGGCAAGGTAAAATGGTTCAAGTGCCCCTGCAAGTAGAAAAGGGGCTGTACTTGATCACCTCATTAAAGCAGGGGTGTGTTTTGGGCGTAATATGCAATTATCCAATCAGTGTGAAACCTCCTGTCCCTTTTAAGAAACATGTGAATTTGAACATTTGGCAGATTGTTAGCATACTAGCGGAGTTGCCAGGTCGGACATCAGTAAGATTTTCCATTGAGGAAACAAATCTGCTCGTGCATGAGGCGCACAATCACTAATCAAAATGCTTTTTATTATAAATACACATATTTTGATGCACACAACACCAAATGAACACAATGTCATCTTTTTATTTTTTAAGTTTTGCATTTCCTGTGCAGCACGTCCCAGGGTATAACAATTACAGTGCACGTGCATTATGCATGCACATAGACAGGTCCGCATCACAACATGGTCAAAGCGCCCATTAACTAGCAGTGATGATTTGACTGTTGACCGCAGACCTGTTTTTTCTGGTCAGTGGCGCAGTCACTTTGTGCACCCTCACATTACTAGCACACCCAAAATGTACCCGGACACACCCCATTTTCATCTGGACACACCTACTGGCAGAATGCTGTATGGTAAAAAAGGCAACATGATGCACATATCATGAAAATGACAATTCCTCAGGTAGAAAATTAGGAACCACAATGCACTACCTGTGCAGCATGCCATGTGTTTTTTGCAAGATAGGACCCCTAGAGTCTTTGTCATTTGTGGTCACTTTCACTGAAACATTCAAACACACCAAAACACAAACAGCTATACACTAGAGCCAGCGCATACATTTTTTTATAGGTTTGTCTAGTTTTCTGTTCATCGTTACCTGCACTAGGACAAGGCTGTGGGTTCAGGAAGCTGTTCACGTTCTCTGTGGTGGAGGATGTGTGTGAATTTGGTTGTGGAGACGGTAGACTGGGGTCCCCATCATCGGGTGGCTCTGGGGAGATGGTAGGGGCGCTCCTCTCCTCATCCATGGGCTTAGGCCTGGCTCTTAAGGGAGGAGGTGGCGGTGCCAAGGAGTGAGCCTGAAGCAGCAAGAGATAGCCAAAAAGTATTATTACACAGATGATTGCTTTGGCCATGTATGAGTGGGAGAGGTGCAATCAGTCAAGACTTGAACAAGCACAAATTCCTTTTAGCTATCACTAAAGAAAGAAGCAGACTGCCTTGCTGCTCACATGAAACAACAGAAATACCTTAGCTTATTTGTAAAAAAAAAAAAGAAGTTCTAAGCTGTTTTATTGAAGGAAATTAAGATGAATCTTTCAACACTAAACATGCCATAAAAAGACACTAGCACAGTAACAAAGGAGTTATGGATTTAAATAAAAGTTAACACATTTTTTGAAAAAAGGAATTGTCACATTGGTACATTGTTCATATGTGTTCTTATAGAGAACATAATTTAACAATACCAGTCAAGATTCCAAGGTTGCTGTGTCATGTTGATCTACAAGAAAATGTGCATAAAGTCCATAAAACCAAAATCTTGAATATTTGAATCATTTTAAAGAGAGAAATTGGTTTATTAAAGCTCCTGCAGAAAACAGAGCATATCACTGTGATATGTGTAGCCAAAAAATACTTTTTGTAATTTTAAAACTAATACTACTTAAATTAGTCAAGTCGTTAGATGATGTACATTTCACAATAACCTACTTATAGTTCTACTAAATTGTTTCGAAAACAGCTATAACAGGACGGTTTTACTTAGTGTATAATTATTAGGTCGCAGGTATGTTTGAGCATCAATTATAACCGGGAAAACCTTCTGTAACTCATAAATAAAACACCACATGGGTCACGTGCCAACTTGTGTTTGGCGCGCGCCTGTCCTGCCAAACTTGGACAGCTGTTTGCGCGCTCCCGTGGCTCGCTGCTCTCAAAAGTTTGGACAAAATAGCTTTAGTAGATTTTGTGAAAACACTTGATGGAGCTAAGTTACGCCCTTAAATAACCGAGACTGGCCCAGTTTTACTGGATGTTTTTATGAAGTTTCGGGAGAAGAGAAGACATCACACAGCACACACACACAAAACCCAACGCCAAAGTAAAATATGTAGGCCTAGCTACTTGTCCCCGGGTTTTACAAACGATAAGGTCTTTCGAAGCAAAAGTAGGATAAAATATAGAGCTCACTAAATATAGCTGTTAGTTAATAACGGGCGTTTTCTGTTTACCTTTACTGCAGGTCTGCGCTCTGATTTCCCAAACGAGTCCCTGCATGCTCAGACCGAGCTCTGCTCCACCGTGGAAAGGCTTTTTCTGCTTGCATTTAAACTATACTACAGAAAAACTCGCTGTGAAATACAACAACTGGACGGGAAAACAACGTCTTACCTTCTCTCTGGCTGGGACTATGTGCAGCCGAGCCTTTGGCTAATTCATTCTCTGACCGCTCCAGGTGGACTTCTCGCCCTCCGAGACCCTTCCCTCCACTTTTGCCACTTCACACGACCACCAGATCTCGCTTCGGCTCATGTAGGTGCACCAAGTCCCAGTTCAATGCATGGTTCTTCAGCGGAGATAGTTTTCTCTCCGCCTCCAAAGTTTCTCTCTCCGGCTCGCCCCGTCCTCCAGCAGTTCAGATGTTGGGACTGTTGTGTGTCTGCACGCAGCTGGATCTGCGCTGCAGTTTTCCTCACCTTCTGTTCACTTTCTAAAAAGCAAGCCCAAATACACCACTTTCCCAAACTTGCTTAAATTCTTAAAAAGATAAGTATCCGTCCTGTGCATTTGGCCTTTCCTCCCTCATTGCTCCCACTGTACTTGCCTCAGACTTCTGTGCTGCAGCTTTTGGACAGGAAACCACAGTCAGCAGTGATTGTGCTTCCTCCAGGCTACAACTAGTTGTGCTGAACTATACTCATGTAATTACCCTCTAACTCGAACCAGACAAACACTAACATAACCTAGCTTTCTTCAGCAATTATGAACCATATGATTTATTATTAATAATATTTGAGAAGTCAGCTTTATTAACAATGAGCGTAATGCAGGTAACAGTTAAGTTTATTTTTACTATTTCAAATCTTTAAAGCAGTACTGTATATTGATACCACTGGGAAAAGGAGATTGTTTTCTTTTTTAATTTAACATTTAAGAACTTGTTATAGTTACAGTGAAACTATATACTTGTTGCAAATAACTTTCCATCAGATAAAAGCGAATTAAATGAGGGTATTATTCGGAATAGCTTTTACTTAGCAATTTTACAAACAATAAGGTATAATAAATCATTTGTTATTTCTTGGGTCACACATGGAAAAAATAAAATAAATTAAATTAAATACTACACATGACAGAAGATTTAAAAATTTAGGGTTCATTTCAGTGCATTAGCAGGATCCCAATGTGTTAAATATGTTAATGAGAGAATTCTCAGCTTTTATTTTTTTATCACATCAGTTAAATATGATGCTGTACAATTACAGTGTAATAAAAACAGAAGACCTGCATAAATAAACCAAATGTGAGCTTCAGAAGACCCTAAAGGTTGGTTGAGATTATATTGAGGCTAGATTTAAGACTTGTATGTTTGTACAGTACAAGATTTAGTCTCCCCACCTATTCGAGCAGTGAACAATGAGAGGGGATAAACCCTCATGTCATCAGCTTCCTGAAAAGCTCATGCACATTCTCCTCTTATTTCCCTTTGCAGCTCACGGTCCCAGTTTACTTTTTAGCTCACCCATAAGGTTCTCTACTAGTCTGATAGCTTTCATTTCTGTTGCTTATCTGCATTTTCATAATTATTAAATGCTAGTGATTCATGAGTACTCAATGATAATTTAACTATACCTTATTTTACAGTATTTCATGCTTTTTAAACATGTTACTAAGGAGGTGGTCGGTACCTTGTAGATCTGCCAGTTGCCTTTGCTCTGATTCTAACTGACAGCTTCCTGTGGAGGTGAACAGGGACACTCTGGACTGTCCAAGGGCCTATAGTACACCCAACAGACAAATATGACATTGTCCTTCTACATTCCTCACCTTCAACAGTGTTATTAAATCAGCTTCCAATTATGAAACAGAGGTTGCTGATGATGTTCACAGATATGTCAGTATTTTATTTTGTGCAGATTGACAGAAGTAGCCACAAAAGCAGATTTTGTCTTTGGTATTGAACAATAACTGTCTTTTATAGGACTAGTTCAACACATTAAAAATATGCTTCTTTTCGTTCTTGCCAAGACTTAATGTACCTGGAGCAAGCAGACAGTTAACTTACCTTAGCACAATAACAGGAAATGTGGAAGCAGACATGATTATCCCCAGAGGAAACAAAATCTGGCACCAATATTTAAATCTTATGAATGATCGTATCATATGATCTTGTTTGTTAAATCTGCATCACAAGCCAAGCTAGTACTTTCCCCCTGTTTCTACTAACAAGCTGTTAGGTTCAGGTGCATAATTCATTTTTATTTTTGGTTATCAATTTGTATCAATTTGCATGTCTAACTCATAGATCATTAATATAATGTTTTAAGTGAATATGAAAACATACAACATTTTCTCTATTAAAATACAGTATCTAACTTAAGGTAGCACCAGCATGAAGCTCCAAACCAATCTACTCGCCTCCACCTAGCATTCCCTCACCCTGCTCCACTGTGCTCTACTACAATCTGCTACGCTCCACCACGCTCTGGCCAGCTCTTCAGATATTTGTTGTTATGAAGTTACAAGAAATGAGAATGCTCCAAAACTTATCAATCAAGTACAAATAATTAAAAATATCTGACTGGTTAGAGATGTCAATCCTGCTTAAAAACCTTTAGAAGCTAATATCTCTGCATGGCTGCCAGCACATCTCAAAGAGTTTAGATCACAGGAGGCTTCGACGGCACCTCTCCACATTAAGACTAGTTTTGGAGAAGATTTCTACAGTAAAAATATTTTTAAAAAATTGTTACATACTGTAGCTTTAATTTCTATTGTTGTCACCACACTGTATCATACTCCCAGCCTCCCAGGATGAACTGAAGTACCAGTGCACAAAGAGAAGTTATAATTTCTGGGACATACTGTACCAAGGGCAAGTTGTCCTCACAAAAGCAATCATGTCATACGTCACTCTAAAAGCAGTTCTATCTCACAGCACGTAGAACTGTTCTTTGTTTGGCTTAGGCCTCTGAGGATTGAGAGGCTTTCCAGTCCACTGAGATCCAGCAGAGAAAGAACAGGCTGCCTTCTCTACCAAGCCAGCACTAGAGGACTGAGGTGAGCGCTGCTCCACTGCTCCAGGATTTCTGACCAGACTGCATGAGATGCCACATCCAGATGCAACCCAGAATCAGGTAAGCAGAGGGCACGTGGAGACTGAAAGATGATGAGAGTCCAGGCAGAGTGTGTGTGAGTACAATCCCCCCCTCCCAAAACACACAGAGAGATAGACACTGACCAAAACCACTTTTGAGAAGTAGTCTTTACTTTTGATATTGATTGTTTCCATGGTTTACAGTCTAGTGTGACTCCATGGGAGGTGAAGGGGGGTGGGTGTGGGTGTGGGGGGGGGGGGGGGTGGCTTAAAAATATGTTTCCAATCACTCACAAAGATGCTTTTGTTCTGGCCTTCTCCCTCTCGCTCTCTCTGCCACACATGAAGTTGTACAGTTTGAACCACTTTCTCACTGGACTCATGGCATCTTAAGGAACAGTTCTTGGGAACTTAGACTTTAGGTTTGTCTTGCTCTCTTTGTCTGTCATATTTGTTTGTGAAATGTATGTCGTATGTTGACCTACCAAAAGACGATGACTACTACTACATTTAAAACATATGCTTTCTTATAATCACTATTCAGAACATTTCATATCAACTATTGCAACCTAATGATTAAGGGTTATTTGATTAAAAAACACATTTTAATGATTATCCTTTATGTTAATCGTCAAACACGTACACCTTCATTCCCCATTTTTATCTCTTTTGTGATGACTTTTTTTCTGTTTTATATTACTATAAATTGGATTTGTGTGGATTTTGCACTGTTGTTGAAGGAACAAATGATGACCCTATGGACTCTGAGAAATTGCAAAGAGCACTTTAAAAACATTTAAATAACATTTTTAACCCTTGTTCGGATTTGTTCATAAACAAATTTGAACTAAACTGTTTCACAAATCTGCTTCAAAATTATTTTTTCTCTTTGGGGTCTGAGACGGACGTTCTAAAGTCAGTTTGTTTGTGCATAACTTATATACCATCTAAAACATAAAGCATGCCCTTATTTGGTGTAATAACAATGCTTCATGGTCATTTCTATATTTTGTCGCATTCATCAAATTTAAAAGAAAAAACTAATTTTGCGATATATATTTACGTATAGGTGGTATAAGGGACCTCAAGCAATGGGAACATAAAGTAAAGGACGGGGTTTAATCAATTTATTGCATTTAATTAGAATGTTATCAATCCCCAGAACTGACGTTATCTATTTTTATGACTCCCATAACTGTGCTTTAGTAGGGTCATATTGTATATTGACATCATTGTTTGTTACCCTTATAAATAAATATTCACTTTAAGACAACATAACTAGATACTTTGCTAGCTTACTTATTTTTTATTTTCTGTAGTGTGATTTTGAAAAATGTTTTCATTCTTCCTTTTCTTCTGCTTCTTCTTCTTGTCCTTCATATTGTTATCATCATTAGTGTAATCATGTGAAATGTACAGTAGGCCTTCAGTATCAATGCTTGGGTGTTTACTTGGATGTAGCCTGTAATTAGAAATTGCTACGTTAAATATAAATGTAGACAGAAGAGAAGCAGACAGTTCTGAGTACATTAGGCTTCATAAGTAGATCCACGGAGGAACGGCCTGTTCCTTCAGCCACAGACATGGAGGGGAAGAAGAGGGAGGATAACAGAGCGAGTGAATAGGGGAGAGATGGCGCGAGATGTCAGCATGGCTCTTGGTAAATTTATTTAGTGACTCATAGGGTCTGCCTGGACCTCAGTGCTCTCCATGCTGCAGGAACTAGCAGCCCTCCACACCCAATCACACAGACACACAAATTAATATGGATTTAGCACAGCAAATCTGTGCACATGCACAGGAGGGCAGATGCATAAGTATGTGTACAAATTCTGCTCCAGACACTATAACAGGACTACAAATGTATGATACACGCTCCTCTACACATATCTGATGTGCATGCCGTCCAGCTGAGCATTAACAAAATGCTCAGAGTTTCAGGCTCCAAACACTAATGTGCCACGCCAAGAATAACCTCTTTATGTGTTGCTCTGCACCCTGGCTCACCTTAGTACCATATGGTTAATATAAAGTTTCTGCTTAGTATTCATGGTGTGTGCATGCCAGTGAGTGTGTGTTTCTATGTGTAATAGGTTTAGGATGGGGTCTCTCGCAAAAGCAAATGTCACAGGGATTTAAGCGACAAGTGGGAGTTTCTCAGCTGACTAATGAAGAAGTTCACAAAAAGCACAAAGTTTCAACTTTTCAAAAACGTCCAGCCAGATTCCATTGTTTTCTCCCTGTGGCAACACATTCACGATGAAATGCCAAAGTTTAAAAATAAGCTGTAGGGCATGAGCCAAAGCTGCAAGGGAGGGACACAGGTAAAAAAGGATTAGGGCAAAATGAATAGTCTTTACCACATGCAGTATCTTTACTATGAACGTAATGAAATTTCTGCAACCCACAGTCCTGTTGCCCACTCTGTCACACACACAGTACATGTGGTTCACTCACTGCTCTGTCTGATCTGTACTCTCTGGCCCACCCTATTGGTCAGACCATGTCAGTGGACCACAGTGATGTTTGTTGGCGAGTTTGTGTTTATGAGATGTTGCTTGTGTTGTCCGGTTTGTTTACTCCTCCTGGTGGCCAATCTCTGTATCACAACACATACTGACCTCTGAAGGCCTGCACCAGTGACACAAACTAAACCTAGAACTCAGTGAAAAGTTACAATTTAATGAGATTTTCATTTCAGGTGTGATTGATTAACTACTGTAGTGAACTGACACTCTATGTGTGATTCCACAAGTCCTTCAAGGGTTCTATGACATGCAAGGGTGGATGTTTTCTATATAAAGACTACAAATGAAAAGTTTTCTTTATGAAAACCTTGTGAATATAGAAATAAAAATGCTAAATGCAAATCGTCAATTAGTATTGGCCAAACACTTTCCATTCCTGTCGAATGAGCCCTCCACCACCATCATTTTTTATATTGTCACCACGTTTTTAAATAATATTCATGATGCACTGCTCTTCTAAGAATATGTGGGTATCTGTTTTTTAGATTTAAAGGTGTAAAATGTCAGTTTAAAAAAAATTGCTGTTCACAAATGAATGGCTAGGTGAACATGGTTTTAGCATGGGTCAGCGGGGGTCATTTCTTAGATGGAGCACAATGATTTTACAACATTACAGTGTGTACAGTGTGACTCAGCTGGATGGTAAGAGGAAATTTGTGAGGATTTTTAAAACCCATCCCTCCACTGTTAACAGTAGTTGCCATGATTGGCTTGGTTTAATTATGGTAGTTAGTGGCTGCATGAGTAGAGCATTTACATGATGAGTACTCAGCCAAAGGCCACAGTGGAGGCTGAAGTGCCTGTATAGCAGTGCCGTTTCAGTTTGTGTTTGTGTTATGATAATGTGTGTACGCTAATCTTGTTGGGGCACAAAGGGGATAAAATACAATGCTATTCAGAGAAACGACTCAAATGCAAAAGTACACAAATTAGGGCAGCAGAGTTAAATAAACATGCCTGACAGTCTCAACAAAATAAAAGCATTAAAGTATTGTATATTACAGAGTTATTGTATTGAGTTGGATGGAGTTAAAAATAACATATTTAAGTGTAAGGAATTACAACTCTACAGTTGTACTGTATGTGTGTGAGTGAGTATTCGATACCACTAGAGTGGAACAACAAGGACACAGTATGGGACAGTGTAATAAGTATTTTATTGCATTTTATAATGCCATTGTCAATAATTAGTACAGATTACATGCAACTAGACCTACTGTACAGTTTTTTTATTGTCTGCAGGGACAGACACAAGAAGATTCAGGTTACAAATACACAGATATATATGTGTTTTTATACAGCATGAAGGAAAGGGCAGTGACTGGCATTACATGGCTACCCGGGGTGGAGGGTCAGAGGGCTGGGCTCCACTGTCTGTCTAAAGCCACCACCCAGTCCCTGTCGCCGCTTCTTCCTCGAGTCACACTTTCAAATAACAAGAAACAGAACATAAACCAAAGGATAAAGAGAGGTAAACAGAAACTAAGAAACAATACAGAGTCACTGCTGAAAATGTACACACATTCCTAAGGTTTAACCAGAGGAGCGCTGAAGTGGTAGTCCCATCAGATTCTGGCTGTCTACTTGATAATACCATCAGGTAAGGCTCCACTTTGAGAGTCCCTTCCCCCCTCACATGACACCTCAGAACTGTCCAATCACACATCATGATTTGAGCTCCCTGTGTCCATTGAGTCAGCCAGCCGTTCCTACAACACCATTCCGTACAGCTATCGGTAAAGGTGAGCAGTGAAGTCGATGGTGATTTTGGAAGTAGCTTGGTTTTTGTTTGGTTAAGGTTGTGGCATTGGTATGGTTACAGTTTGGTTACGGTTCAGGAGTTTGGACTAAGCAATGTTTTGCTTGCAATGCCTTTGGTAGTCAGAAGATGAGCTGCATCTCTGAAAGCCATTCCACATTTTGCATTGAGACTATGCAAAAGAAGGGGTATCAAAAATGCAACAGTGTCAGGCTTTGATCTGCCTCTGTGGGACAGGGAGATGAGGTTTGTGACTGGTCACCACCAGCCAGGTGTGTGTGACTCAGTGACACCCCCATGGCACCTGCAGATGATTGACAGCTCTGTGGGTCAGGGTTCAGCACAGGAATGACGGGGATCAGGGGTCAGAGGGAGGGGTCACAGGGAGCTGGAACACATATTGGCACCTGAAAGGACCAACAGCATAATCTTTCTAGAGCTCTGCACTTTTAAAGCAAGAGAGGGGCTACATATTCTTACTCTCCTCTTTCTCTTTTTCTTTTCAGAGGTTTTGGTCCTGTCTTTGAGAAAAAGTCCTTCTGAGGTATCAATACAGAATAAAGTAACTTATTAATTTGTTTTCCATTTGTTTTTTTCTTTCCTTAAAAATGCATAAATGCAGTACAGAGACAAAAAAGTATCAAAATAGACCTAGCTAAGATAAATATACAAACAGGTGTTACCTAAACCACTGATCTAATGTTTTATTCTTTTAATGTTTTAGAGATAATACACTTAAAAAATCTGCGTCCCAGACGTTTTATGAAGAAAAAAAAATAGGGAAACAAACAAAGCAAAACTATTAAACCAAGATACCTGCAGCACTTAATATGATAAATATATCAACTTCAGCATTAGCAGTACAGTATAGGAATCAGAGCTGAAAGCTTTACAATAGCTAAACAGGTGCAGGGGAAAAAAAACAAAAAGAAGAGAAAATTAAGAGACAAAATGGTAAAGAATGCCCCGGAGAGATAAGTCGAGCATTCACATACAAGAATGCATCATGTTACGCCAAGCTGGAGAAAGAACAGAAGTGTTACATGGCGACCTGTGAACAATCTAAATCTTTATAAAACAGATTTGTTAACAGGTGTATCTTAAAGCACAAGTCAGATCATCTAGTTACTGTATGCAGCAGTTCCTCTTGGTTTGGATAGTACTAGTACTGTAGTAGTGATGAGTTTTATTAAGTGTGTGTTAGTCCTCTCAGCATCTCTGCGAGTGTTTTGGTGAAGGGGGTGCTGCTGTGTGCAGGTCTTTGGATATATGGATGGTCAGAGCCTGTGTTTTTGCACTAACATATAGCCTTGCTTCTATGCTCCCTGTGTGTATGCGTGTGTCCAGGTCACACTGATATATCCTGTCCATCACTGCCCCTGAAACCAGTTCCCTGCAACACTGCACACAGACAAAGCAGACAGCTCAGCGCTAATCGGGTGCAGGGATATGGTTAGTTTTACACAGCTGATAGAAAACATTTCATATATAGTGAGCACTTCACAGCACACTTGAGACATAGAGAGTGCCTTAGATATGGATTAAGGAGAGGTAGTCATCTTAAACTCCATGGAAAGTGAAACAACTCATATGTTTTTGGGCTCAAGCAGATGTGTTCGGGAGTCCAGATCTTTTTTCTTTTTTTTTTGGCATCTGTTATAATCACAGAGGAATGGAGAAAAAATATTTATGAGAGTTCAGTCCCATTGGCTATGTGTTGAACTGGTCTGAAAAGGAGGTAGTGTTATTTTTGGTTTTTATTTTGTTTCAAGATGTCTGTCTGCCATTTTGTACTTCTCTGCCTCTAATGTGACAGGAAACAGTCCCGTTTGAACACAAAATCATCTGAAAGGCTATCTCATTAAATAAGAAAAAATCTGAAGTGCAAGAGATAGTCTTGACAAAAAGCATGAAAATATTATCCAAACTTAAAATGACATGATGTCCCTTGGTTGCTTTCATCTTACATTGGAATAGTTTCACTTTTTTTGTTGTTGTTCCCTCTGTTGAGACAGTAGATATTTGAAATTACTCCTCTCTGTCCAAAGGTTTGACTTTTGTAACAACATTACAGTACACCTCCTCTTTCTGTAAATACTACAGCACAGATAAAGAGGGCATGTTTGTTTCCTAAACTGAAAAATCTAGTTTTTGTTACAACAGCACCACAGAAACATCTTGTAAAGCCAGGTGTTTCAACAGAGCCAAATATTTTCAGTACGAGTTTAACCTCTCTTGTTGCCATCTCAGGTTGTAAAGGTACAGCTACCTGACGAGTGCCTCACCTTTAGGCCTGCTCATACAATAGCAGGGCCACATTTCAGCCTGAGCATGGAAGAGACAGAGCTTCACCTCTAAGTGCTTTTTTCTTTTGTTTTTTAGAGGAACTGCGCGAGGTTTGTTAATGCTAGTTTTTGGCCTCATATAAGTTGTGAGTCATTCTTCATCATGTAAAAGCTTTGATTTCTCCATCTTCTAGTTTGCATTACACACTTTGGTTTTTGGAATGGTCAGCACTGTAAGTCATGTATACTTTCAACACAACAGTTAAGTGAATACATTAATTAGAATTCTAACTCCTGGTTTGTTGTCTTTTGGCCAGTTCTTTAAGAAGAAAAAGAAGAAACTCAAAAAGGGCAAAAGAAACTACAGGGTTTTTGGTTTTCTACACATTTCTTTGGTTACCTGTAACAAAAATAAAATGGGAAAAAGCAGATAATAGATTAAAATAAATGTCAAATTTGGCATGGAAAGTAATGCTTTTTATGCTCACAGAAAGCAAACAAAAACTAAATCTCACGTGCTATTCCTTTAACACGAACTCACACAGTGAATTGCAGATAGCCTCTACACAGTAACTATTACAACCATAGAACTTTGAATTGAAGCTGAGCAGAGTTGCCACATTTGGTGTCCCACAGAAAGTATTCCCCCTTATTTCTTTATCAATTTGGACACAGTTCCAGGCAGAACCTTTGTGGGATGAGGTATTCTCTGACTGCAGTAATAATATATATATTTTTAAAGCATTACTGATATTTCTCAACTAAATACATACTCAAAAACAAGTGAATGAGAGAGAATTTAAACAAAAAGATTCAGCTGTTAAATAAAATGTCTGGATAATGGCAATTTTAAGTGCTATTTCCAAATGTCTTGCCTGCTACACTTGGGGCAAAAAAGGAAGAGGGGCAGGAGTTGGGTCAGGTATCACACATTGGGACAATACTGCGCTTTCTTTTGTGTGCGTGCGTGTGTGTGTGTGTATTATTATTACTATTTTTTGCCAATACTCATTTGGAATGGTGTGAACCAGAGTAAATCAAACAAATTACAATACAAAAAACAGCATCCTTAGAAAAGGTATGTCAAAACAGAACGCCACCGTGGAAATATTGTTTCTCAAAAATAAACAATGATAACATCAAATAAAAAAAAGAAATGACAAAAGCTATCACACATTTTTTCTTGTTATATTCCATAATCAACAGTTTTCTTTTTTTAGTCACAATATTTCTGTAGATGCTTCCTCCCTCATCTCTCTCTGCTTCCCCTCTTGTTCTCAAAGTGTTCCAAGCTCATCGCTCCATTCACGGATGGAAGAGAAGAGATGGACAGCACCAAATGGTCCTTTTCCTGCAGTCTTTTGGGGGGGGTGGGGAATGTGAAGGAATGGAGATGGGTAGGAAAATGTCTTCTTTTTTTCTCACTTAGAAGCAAAGAGTTTAAAAGATGTCCGTCACTAAGTTTGTTGCTGGAGGCAGGAGATTTGGCCAGGGACCCGGACCGCGTCGCCTCTGTCGGGTCAGCGTCAGCATGGGCTTGCACACTGGCGTGGAGACAGGAGCCTGCTCTGCAGAAACGTTGGAGCACTCTTGGAGGTAATCTTTGAAAGCACTCTTCTATCCTTCTTTCCTTCCCATCTGGAAGCCCAACAGTTTCATTTCAATCACAGAAAAGAAAACGGAAAAGCAAGTGACTGACTCAAACAGGGGTAAGAAGGAGAGGTATACTGCACAGCCCGTGGTGACTGCTTCAAATCTATATACACATGATTCTGTGTGTGTGTTTCTTTATAACACACACACACACACACACACACACACACACACACACACTTGTGTCTTCAAACAGCTAGCCAGGCAGCCCGAGACAACAGTGAGGAGGGTGTATGCAGAGTGGTGGGGCTAGGTGGGTGCTAGAGTGTGTCCACACCTCTAAGGGTCTCCACATAGAGGCCGATGTTACCAGGAAGGATAATGAAACATGGGTCTGATAAGTGAATGAGTGTGTGTGTGTGTGCATGTGTGTGAGTGTGTATGCATTAAGTGGTGTTACACCTCTGAGCCATGTGTCGGAAAAAGAAACACATGGAGGTAAAGCAGTGCTCCAAAGTCTGATTTTTGCGCCTGAAAGGAACGGAGGTCACCTAACCCTGTTTGGAGTTTCTCAATGTCATCCTTGGTTGCTTGCATTTTCTTAAAAACAAACTGAAAAAAAAATCTATTTTTTCTCATCTCTTTTCTCTTAAGTGTACTGTAGCTATCTTTTTCTCTACACACTGACAAGAGGGTTTCAGGGACTGATCTCGCTATGTCCTGTCCCTCGGGTCCGTTCTGGATCTGTCCTACTCCAGCTCCTCAGTGGGAAGATCCTCCTCCAGGTCGCGCTCATCGCTCGGCAGTGGCAGACTGTGTGTGACACCAGCCAGGAGGGACACTGGCCGACTGTCCTCCTCCAGCTCAGTGGGTTCCTCCTTCACATGCACTGGGTGGCTGGAGGAGGAGAGAGTAGACAGACTTTATCAAGGCAAGGGCTGCACGTTGAAAGGCAGATGACTGATGACGCTGATGTCAAAATGTGTAGATGCTAATTGTACTATCAATTGATCCAGGTTGTGTTATTTTATAGTTTATGTGAAATAAAAGCATCAACAAAAGCACTGACACTGATCATTATATTCTCCAGTGAAAAGAGTACTGACATTGTTGAATTCTGGGTTGGCTGCTGCTGGGGGAGGATGGTTTGCTTTGATGTTTTAGTTAAACGTAAGAAAAATTCTGGTCAGCAATGTCAATAAAAATGATAATATCACTAAGTTCATTACACCTCCATCATACAGATGGTACACAACACTAACTCAGATGAAAATGCCAGTGTTAGGCTGGTACACTAGCCTCTGTCAGAACAGTAACTGTAAATAGGTTACCTCTGTGTGCGTGTGTGTGCTTGCGCCCATGTGTACAGTACCTGTACTGTTGAGGGCTGAGCGTGGGACTACAGCTGCTATTGCTGTTGACTTGCTCCACAGTGGAGCTGACATCATCGTGGCCCACGTGGAGCATGTTGAGGCTGGCTGCAGAGGGAGGGTTCACCAAGGGAGGGCTGTTCAGCAAGGACAGACTGCTCTCTGCCAGAGCCGCCTGCACACAAACACACACACACACACACACACACACATTAATTAGGAGTTGAGTTCCACTAAAGTTTTTTTTTTTAAGTACAACAATGGCAAAAGGAGTGTGTGGCATACTGTCCACCACAACCAGATAAGGTATGTGGAGGCATCTCACACTGCTTTACTTGGCTATATTTAAATCATTTATTTGTAAAATGAACTGCCACACAATTAGACATACGGTAGACAGCATTATTAAATGTTTACTGCAATAATGAATTGCGGGGAGTTCTTGTGAAGAGAGCTCTTCAACACAAGCTACTTTTGGATGCACTAACTTGCTACTGAACTAGACAAACCACTAGGGGGCACTTATATACAGTACTTTTCCTATCATGGATTGTGCTTGCACATTTAAGTTTCTGTCATAAGTGTGTGTGTGTGTGTTCACATGAAAGTCTCAGTAGGACTGTTAAGCAAGACTGAGCCTCATCTTAAACGCACACACACCCAAACAATGAAACATCAGTGGCTGTAGAGGAGAAAACAACTGAACCAACAGCTTCTGTCACTGCTCTAAACGTTCACATCCAGCTGTTTGTAGCCGAGTTGGACACTGGCTGAGAGCCTCACCCCACCTCCCGTCTCACACAGAAAAAAAAGACAAAAGGAGGGGAATTCTCACTGGCTCAGAGATGGGTTTTCTGGGACAGGCGATAATTTTATGCAGTAACCTTAATTGACAACTACTTGATGCTATAAATCATCTCAGTCACAAAATTGCATGTGCGTGCATTCAGTGTGCATGTCTGCGTGGGAGTGAAGAGACGGGTTAAGTGTGTTTGTGTGTGTGGAGAGGTGGGGGCGGCGCATGTGTGACAAAGTGAGGTGGGAGGTGAGAGTGTGTGTTGGTGCAAAGGAGGTGGTGTGAACATCGTTAGGGAATCTGCTAATTATAAAAGGGAATTGATACTAGTGCCCTTGATTGGCTGCTGTGTGTGTGTGTGTGTGTGTGTGTGTGAATGAGAGAGAGAGAGAGAGAGAGAGAGAGATGGGGGAGGAACAGGGCATTCCTTACCTGATAGCTGGCGTTTAGGGACCCAAAGCCCAGGCCTGAAATCATGTTTTTCACCAGAGTGGGACTTCTACACACACACACACACACACATGCACACACAGGGGGTGAGAATCACAGCTTGAGTGCACATGTGATTAGATGTTACCACAGCCAAAGCGCTCTGACAAATCTCACAAATATGTTTGTTACAAGTAGAAATATACACAAACTGTAAATAGATGCAAAAACACACATACGGTGGGATATCTGGTGCACAGGTGTGTGCGCCTGTGTTTGTGTGCATAATTATGCCTGGTTTCTCTGGCGGTTGGAGAGAACATCTGTTTACATACGCTAACAAGTTTTTTTTTCTTCCTCTCATGCATCTCACACAGCTGCTTACTAATGGTGTCGACAAACAGGGAAAACACACACACACACACAGTACACACACTATGAAGCCAGCAGCCCGCTTTTTTTAAAAGTTGATTGCTGAGTTGGCCTCTTGGTAATAATAGAGGGTCAATTTAGGCAATCATAGTGCCAGCACCCATAAACTCACACTCACATCAAGCTCAACTATGCGCCAAGAAAACAACGACACTGTGCACGTATGTGTCTATATGGCTCTGTGTGTGTGTGTGTGTGTGTGTGTGTGTGTGTGTGTGTGCTCTTACCCAGTCATCTTTGGTGGTCTCCTCTTTTGGTATTCAACTTCATCCACAGTCCACACGGCCCCCTTCACGTTCTCAACACGAACAAAACACTTGTGCAGACTCAGGTTGTGGCGCACAGCATTCTGGGAATAGATAGATAGATAGATAGATAGATAGATAGATTAATATCCTGGGGGGAATTTCTTTAGGTACAGCAAACAGAAAGACAACAAATATAAAACAATTCTTCATAAAAATATATGTACATAAACAGGATATCTAATAACACACATACTAGATAGTGCAAAAACACTGCAATAATAAATAGTACTAATGAAAATTATTACACAGTCTTATTATGCAGCACCATGTTTGCAGGTCAGTGGACCTGTGAAACAACTCCTTAAAACAATGTGGGTGAGTCTGTGACTAAAAGAACTTTTTAAACCACCCAGTGTGTCATAGAGGAGATGAGCGGTATTGCTCAGGATTGTAGTCTTGACTGGCTACAATCTAATTGTAGCACATTCTGAAATATTCCTGAAAAGTGACACATTTACAGCACTTATGTCATTAATATTCCCTGATGTCTCCTCCTTCTAATTTAAGAAATCACTGATTTGTACTGTATAAAGTATCCCTCTTAATTTGCCACAGTACTTCATGAATTCCATGATATTCCAATGAGAAATTGTGTACTGAAATAGCAACACAAACCGAAACTGTTTATTTTTTTACTTCCTTTTCCTAGAGCTGTTATTGAGCTGAAGGACACTCACTCAGGGTGTGTTAAGTACAAACAACGTGTTCCAGCCTGGTATTAAGTTACATTTTATGACCTGAAGATAATACAGCTTTTTTAATCATCACTTTTAATGCACAAACACACACACACATACTGGAGCTCCATGTACAGTGCTAATGCAAGGCAGCAGTTCTCTAGCAGTGTTGTTTTATCTCAGAGTTTTCCTAATCAGTCATCATCAGCACGCACACAGAGACACACACACACACACACACACACACACACACACATCCACGGGCACTCAGACAGCCAAGCAGGCAGGCACACCGCTATCTCCGTCTCACCCCCCAGGGACAGGCCTCCCTTTTCATCTGCTATTTGTAGTTTGTTCATGCCCAATTTCATTACCAATTTTAATTCGTCTATAATTAAATCCTGCATATTCTCTCTGACACGCTGTTCTAAGCCGAGAGGGAGGGACAGGCCAGGCATGCATCACTCCTTTCCGTAATTACACAAGCAGATACGCACACACACACACACACACACACACACACACACACACACACACACACACACACACACACACACACACATATACACGAAACAAAAAAAGCCATAATCAGTGGAGGAACCCTTTCTCCCCCGCATCCCCTCAACCCCCGAGTCGTGATGCTAAGTTTTGTAAATGAGTCTGACCCCAATCTCCGCCCGCCACCCTGACAGCGCAAACACACACACAGGCACACGCGCCAGACACCAGTGCTATTGCAGAGCTATTTGCATTCGTCTCCGTGATGAAAGCCTAATTCTCCCAGTTAAAACATTAGCAGTCATTTACAGTGGGTCACAGCACATGTGCCACTCATCTCTAGCCCTTCTGCCTGAGAGGAAGGCAGAAATCATGGAAGAAAAATGTCATTGTTTATTAGAAAAAAGAAACAGAAATCAAGCGACAAAATTTCTTTCTTATTCACATGAGTGAATGAAAGTGTCATTGACTTTATACTGTAAATGTATGTGCACTGTGAGCAGTCCTGTTGTGTTTCTGCCTGATGAATGCAGAAACATGTTGCTCCCATATGATCCAGAATAGGAACACATGCATGCGGGAAAGATTATAAAGAGAAGAACGAATAAAGAGGCATGTAATTTGTGATAACTTGCAACAGATTTGTCATAAAAAGCAGCAGTGGCAGAAGTATTCAGTAAAAGCAGCAATAAAGCACAGTGAAAGTCCTGTATTGAAAATATGACTTACATAATGTATCAAAAGTAAAACTACACATAATGCAGAGAAATTGCCTCTATAAGTTTACTAATACTACTGTCATTATTATTATCTATCATTTTCGCATTATTATTTCTGATGTATGAATGTCTAAGGAGCATTTTACTGTTGCATTGTCATGATGGAGCTGATTAGAATTATTTGATATACTGTGGATGTAGTTTTATCCATAATATTGTAGGTTACTTTATAACTTCTTCATATATTTAATATGCAAAATCTTAATGTGCGAAGTAACTACTAACCAAAGCTGTGAAATATCTCTAGTGTAGTATGAGGTACAATATATACCTTTTAAAAAAGAAATTTGAACTTAAGTGCATGACTTTTATAATTGTACTTTCTTACATTTCACCACTAAATCCAAATGTTAAAATATATTAATAGCACTTTTATCACTACTATTTTATTTTATCATACTCACATTTTCTTTATATGTGGGACCAATTACCTAAAGAAGTGATTTATACTAGTTGTAGTTGAAAAGACTGTGAAAATCAAATGGGTTTTTCTGGAAAGTTAAACAGAACATAAAACCTATTATTTTAAAGGCTCCAGCTCCTCATGCAGCACCTTGAAATAACACTCAACACTCACTTCTCCTCCTCTCTCAATCATCCCTTTCTGTCTGTCTCTCTCTTTTTGTCTCTTCCCATTGTCTCACTGATCAATGACAAAGCAGCTCTCCTCATGAAATATAATGGTTTATTAAAGGACATACATCTCTATGGCCCTATCTGACTCGCTGAGCTACTATATAAATACATAAGGCCATGCTGAGCTATATTTAAAGGTCTGCGAGGCCAGCGGCGCAGGAAGCAGACACCAGACATTAATAGTTAAAATTCATAAAAGTCAGATGAGGAGGTAAAGATATTCCTGGCTACCCCATCTCTTAACCCTCTCCACACCTGTCACTCCATCCCTCCACCATCAGCTCGTTCCTGCTTGCTTGGTTTAGGGCTATTAGAGGGAGGCCGGGGTCTCACCTCCCCTCTGCTCCTCCCCCTGTCGCTCTCCCTAGTTTGCTCATTCTCTCACTTTCCCTCTCCCTGGAGGAACCGACACTCAAATTAGTGTGAGAATTCAGTAGAAATGGGTTAGCACCTACAATGGTGAGATCAGGTCAGGTGCGTGTGTGATAGAGAGAGAGATGAGGGCAGAAAGAGAGAGAGTGTATGATCATGGGCAGTATGTGTGCACCAGTTTTGTATGTGTGTTTCTATAATGAGGCTATATAGTGGCTAGATGTGGCTGCACTGGGCTAAGTGGGGCTGACTCGCCATGTTCCATGCTGGAGGTGAGAGAATTAGAGGACAGAGGGAGAGAGAAGGAGAGAAAGAGAGCAGTAGAAAAGTGTCTCATAAAGGACAGAACCAGCCAGTAACTGTCAAATCTGTCATATCTGTAGGAGCTGAGCAAAGTCAGCTTTTAAATTTGTGTACAGGAAAGTGTGTGTTACTGTGCTTGTGTCACTCTACTATAAGTGTTGGATTTAGGTCTTTAAAGTGACTGTAGTTTTGACAAAATTAAATCTTTTGGCCAATTCTCACTGTTTTAAATAACACTGCAGATTCTGCCTGTAATTTTTTGTTTCAAGTGTCTGAAGGCGTCTGCTCGGCTACGGGGCTTCATCAGCGGCTATAGGCCAAAATTAACCTGTCAGCTCAGCCTTTATCCAAAGTTCTATGTCACATTGTACTTTTAGTCAAATATTGTGCTCTGAATATGGTGGTGTTCATTTTCACCGTTATCTAAGCAACTCCAGTTTGATAATTGGTCTGCTTTCCATTGTGCCAGTATCATTGTTTTGTAGCAAAAACTTCAGATTAAATGGATTCTGAAGCAGTATCAGGGTTAAATTATTACTGCAAATTTGAGGATTTAAGTTATACAAAGCAATTAAGTTCAGGTTTACTTTGCATGTCAAGACTTGTATATGTTACATATAACCAAAAAGACTGTCCTTTGTACAATACATTTCAAGGTAGAGTTTAAATATGGTGTGTCTTTACCTTCCATGTGGCTGTGTTTCTCCTGAAATAGGCAAATTTTCGTGTAAACCAGTTATAGATCTCATTGAGAGTCAGCTGTCTATCTGGGGACTCCAGAATGGCCTAGGGACAGAAAGAAACAGGACAAAACTTAGAAGAGAGCACAGATGGAGAGAAGAGATGGAGCAACGAATCAACGGAGAGACTTACATGACGTATAAGAGAGGCATAGGTAAAGGGAGGCCTGACATCAGCGTTCTTGTAGAACTCACAGTTCTGAGCCAGCTCTGGAAAAATCCAAATACAAGGCCATGACAAGTTTAAATCAGGTAGTGTGAATTATGAATGTGTAGTGTCATACATGTAAGATGAATTCCAAATATAAATGGCAATAACTAATAAAATATACTGGATAACTGAATGGCTTTTTAAGATAAATAAATCCACATAATGAAAAGAATTAAATTATTAAAACAGTGTTTATCTAAATGCTTAATATTATTATTTATAGCAAGAATGAAGCAAATGTTATTGGGAAGAATTTGCTGAACATGGTTTTATAATGTCCACTCCTGCAAACATGCTTACTTTCATATTTTCCTTACGTTTTTACCACTATAAGACCTTTACTAACGTGAGAGTCAATGCAAATGTGAATGAATCTGACTTAATTTTAAGCCATATGACTGAAAACATATTGCTTGAATACCAGAATTAACACTGAGGCTACAGTAATAATCTATTAACCTGAGCAAATGCAGTGCATCTGCTGTGTGTCAAGCCACATATCTGCTCTTTGCTTGGGTGAGGATAAGATTTGGGGATGCTTTGTGTTAAGGGAAGGTTATGTCTGGAATATGGTGCTGCTTATTGTGGGGCTCTGAAGAGTTATGACAGCATGGCCTGACACCTCCTCTTTGGGGCCAAATAATGCGTAAACATTTAACTTGTATACTGAGCTTCCATATGAATGCTCTCGCATTCTTGGCACGTTTAATTGTGTATTATTGACTACTGCAAGAAATCCAAGAGATGTCAACATTCTTTGAGCAATGAATGAAAGGCATGAATGAGCACATGAAAACAGAAACAAGTACTGTAAGAAATATTGATGGCATGGGATTATCAACGCTGAATAAAAAAACACCAAGTGCCTGTGAGAGTCAAAAATAGGGGACGATGAATGTCACAGTCTACCTGAGGCGATGGGGGTGCAGTACTTGTCGGAGTTGCGTCTACGTATGGGCCCAACACTGTGTGTGTGGGAGTGGGAGTGTGCGTGCAGGCTAGAGGAGCTGATGACGGAGGGTCCCTGGCGCAGTGGGGTGATGGGGGTGGCAGCTGAGGTGGGGGGGTGGGGGAGACCCTCTGGGTAGCCCTCGCTGTCCCGTTTTAAAAGAGAGCCGCTGGAAGCCAGGTTTAGCTAGGGAGAGACACAGACGGAGAGTTTAATAGTATTTTGCTTACAGTAGATCACATAGTCACATAGCTGAACCCAGGTTGAAAAGGTGAGAATTGTAAATAAAAATGGGTAAACTAATTAATTAAGTGTGAACTAATCCACTATTAATATAAAACTCTTATGTCTCTCTACTAAGTGTGAAATATTTATAGACATGATTAACACTTCCCTCATGTTTACTTTAAAGCCGCACCATCTGCTGAGCATTACTGCTGTTCACAGAGCAGCAGCATCAAGATAACACCAGGGTCAGGCGATGTCAGCACATTAGACAATATTTTTGTATCATATACTTAACAAATCTCTTCCTAGAAAAGTTGCATTTCTAAACAGTTAGGTCCACAAACTACGAATATGAACACAACTGAGGTTTTAAGTCCATTAAGATGGTTGGCAATGTCATATGCAGAGCACAGAAACGACACAAAGACATGAAGCTACTACTTTTCTAATTAATGAAAATTGTTCAACCTGTAAAATTTAACACTATTTAACCTATAGTAGTATGGGGCCCAATACCCAGGAAGCACCAGTACGATTAAATGACAACAAAGTCCTCGACAGTACCCCATGAACCTGTGTTTTTACAGTTTCCCAAAGCAACAAGCATTCTTGTACACAACCGCACAAACCCGCTCACTGAACATGTACATATATTTATACACAAAGCAGTAGCTGCAATTAACCATGCGTTTACAAAGACAAACCGCACGACAGCATGTTTGTAAAAAAGGGAACACACACATGAACTCTGTGGTGGCGAAGCCTTCAATGACCACCATGGCCCAATTAGGCACAGCCTGGCACACACATGTGGGCACACAGACACAGAACCAGTACTTCCAGTCTCTCTGGGACAGCCATTGTAGGGCTGCTAGTTCAGGACTAATTAACACCCCTGTGTTTGTGTGTGTGTGTGTGTGTGTGTGTTGTCTATATGTGTGCAAAATGTGTGAATCGCCTCCTCTTCACTCTACCCCCTCGCTGTACCATTTAAGCTGACTGGGAGGGTGGGGCTGTTTAACAGGTACTTCATTAACGCTGCAACCCTGCCACATCACCACAGCAACAGTCGAACCCTGCTAATTGAGGCCAAGCTTTGTTTCCATTCCTGACGCTCCTCCCCTGCCCCTTCTCCTCCAATCCCTGACCCCGAGGCTCATCTCCAGTGGTGACAGAACACGCCTCTTCCTGATTTCCCATTAGATGTTAATGGCAGCTGATCCCCCTGCGATCACCACATCATCCAGTCACACTAAATACACACAAACACGCACATGCACACACTGCCACTCAGCTGAACCCATTTATATCCCCTCAAATTAAGACACTCTACCTCTAATTGACAATTAATTTCAACATCTTCATATTTTAATAAGACTCCTCGTCAATCTGAATAATGAAATATTCATTAGATATCTAATAACAACCTCACCAAGCAGTGTGGACACACACACACGCACACACACAGAGTGAAAATTGTGTGACGGCTTAAAAAAATGAAGAACATCCTCAATTGAATACAAAACAGAGCTTAAACTTGAACACAGTATGAATATATGGCTTGAATTTATGACTCTCTCTGAGGAATGAAATGCAACAGAGAAGGCAGAAGAAGAGTGAGGAAGAGAACAAGACAGACAGAAAGTAATGCGGGTGAGACATAAATAACATTATGATCCTAAGTGGTCAATAGAGGGCGCAGATACCAAGCTAGACAGGAACAGAGGAACATGAAATCCCAAGAAAATTAAGAGCTACAAAACTGATAAAGAAGAGTTTGTAGACGAATTAAAAAGTAGCAGCAGAGGTCTGAGGTCAGAGGGTGCAGGGAAATATTGTGTCATTTGGGGTTTGGGGTGCCAGTGTATACTCACAGGTTGGTTAAAAGGCTTTGGCTCTGAGGGGCGCATGTGCAGGTGGGTCATCATGGCCTGGAGTCGCTCGCTCTCTTTTGCCAGCTGTGGAGCACACAGGGATGAAATAACCATGAAAAATACTTTATCTTATTTCACAATCCTTGATATAACATGATACTGACACCGAATTACAACAACAATTACACCTCAGTCAGTGAGATGAATATGACAGTCAGCCGCCTCAGCACCCAGAGCTCTCTCACACACTTACAATAGCCTGCAGACACGTTCATCTCTGTTTGACATTGTTAGCCGTGGATTAACGGGTGCTTCTACTGCCTGTGGAAACGCTGCATCCTGTGTGTGTGTTTGTGTATGAGTGCAAGAGTACACACACATAGCCTCCAGAAACAACTGATCCTCACTAAGACCACACTATAAACATACTCACACACTAGAATGATGTGTGGCAGTGTGTAAATATGAGAAATTTAAACACACATAGACACATTTGTGTGTGTGTGTGTGTGTGTGTGCTGTCAGAGGGTAGAGTGGTGGGCTGCCTGTGGACGGCTGAGAGATGAAGTGACAGCTGTCCTGATGTGATGCTGCTTCAGCTGCCTCTCTGTCACTTTGTGTTCCCTGGTGGTGGCTTCAGGGGCTCAGCTAAATGCTGTTTACAACCACCACCAAAGCCTCCTCCCCACCCCCGACAAACACACACACACACACAGTGTACAGAACAGCGCTTCACTTCTTAACCAGTGCTGTTATTTTACTTTAACTGGAGCGCTCAGATATTTCAAGAGCACTGCATGCTTGAACTACTCTGAGAACAAGAGAGGCTATGCAGCCTGGTCCTCAGTCTTCTGGCTTGTCTCTCTCTCTCTCTCTCACTGCTCTCTCTCCCTCCTCCCCTTTCAGCCTTGCTCTCTCTAGCTGGTGACCAGAGCAGCTTTATAATTGGAGCAGCGGTGGCAGCTTCCCTACCGACTGCTCCTTTTAAATTACAAGCTCCAGTGCTCTTCATAAACTCTGCCCTGCCTCAGACAAGTCACAGCCACTGACTGGCTGAAACAGTCTACATGACTTTGTTTGTGAGCAAATGAAAATGAAAGTGTGAGACTCACCTGTATCTCCAGTTGCTGAACCACCTGCATCTGGACTCTGCACTGAGCAGTGCTGCGGTCATCTAGGGCGTGCTCATTGTTCAAGTGCCTAGAGGAGACAGGAATGTGCAAGAGGATCAGCATTCAATTATAGTTCTGGCAAATGGGTTGATATCTACAAATAAAGAGCAACAAGATCACAGCGCTGCCTCTCCTAAATTACAGACTCAATAGAATGATCAATCCAAAGGTCCTGAATGGTGAATTAACAAATCTAAGCACTTTAGTTTTTTTTTTTATTTATTTAAACTGAGTTATGAGCTGTTTCAGCACTACAGAAATAAATCATTGTCTTGGAAGTTTATTTTGTCTAGCAAAGGATGCAGCAGCTGTGTTTTGTGTGTGTATACTTCATTAGTGCTCAGTGAGCCATGATCCAAGAGAACCACCTGGATATGAGCTCATGTGCTATCATACAAAGCCTTATCTGCAAGACTTTCTGTTAGCTAAATTCTTATTAACACTTGTGTGCATGCATGTGTATGTGTGAATGGTGGCACTGTTTGTTTCCTCCCGTGTGGGAGGACCTGGGACCTTCTGATCTTTCCCAGTGCACCCCTCCCTGTCTCCCTTCCTCCATCCCTTTCTCTCCCCTCTGTCATCGCCAAGGTTATTCACAGGTTGCCGCTGCCTGCCCAGTGGTGTGTGTACAGTATGTTTGAGTGTGTGTGCTCATGTAGGCTATATCATGGTGTGAGTGTGTTGTAGTTGTGTGTGCCGGTATATATATGCACCTATATCTGGTGGTGTTAACTTATAATCTGAGTAATCATTCTGTAAAGCCGCATTTCTAACTTGTTTATTGTGAAAATGTAAATTACACAAGGAAATGTGTGTGTACATGCAGTGTATGTCTGTGTCAGTGTGTGTGTGTGTGTCTTTAAAAAGTAGAAAGTTAGGCAATATCAGATGAAGACTAGAAATGAAACAAAAACAATGATGTCATGGCATGGCTAATCTAGGCAGATAGACGGCTCGACACAAGTGCACGATAATAATAACAAAAACATGATCTCACCCCTCTCTCCCTCTTTTTCACTCTCTGTCAAGCTCTCTCTCCCTCTTCCTCACTTGCACTTCTGTCCACTCCCCCCTTCCCACTCTGCTTGCCCCACAACTCCCGAAATGCCTGTGATTCACACTCATTCCAACCAAATCTTCCCCCACAACCCTCCCCTCTCTCTATACTGTAGCTGGGCCATAAACAGTAGCTGGGCTTTTTTTTCGATATGTCCTGACAATGAGGCTCTGTTTACCCCTGTGAGCGCTGGCAGATGGCTTTAACCCACATTACACCCAGCCTCACCGACCACAGCCAGAGTATTATACCAGAGAATGAAGAAGAGGATGAAGGAAAGGTGGGTAGAGAGAAGAGAAGAGAAGAAAGGCCTGAAACTGTGGAGTGTCTCTCTCCTCTGTTGTTTGGCTCTATCTTTCTTCCTCCTGGGGCGATGACTAAGGCTGGCGGGAAGGGGGTGCACTGTCAGACTGACGGCATTATCTGTCACTGCCTCTATCTTTTTCCATCTCCCTCTCTCTTTCCC